GTTAGAATACACCTGCAACACAAGCTACCTTGATATTTAATGTTCAAAATATTAGGTAGCTGAGATTGTTGAAAATTTGGAAGACTAATGTAGATGTCTTCAAGACTGAATTAACTTATGCTACAACATTGTGTCCCTAGAGAGGTAGTGTTATCAGATTTTGATTTTGTATATGTTGTAGTTCATTTTTATTTCAGTTAATTTTTATTTTTCCATCGTTACTGGGTATGGTTATGTATGCTAATGAATTTAAAACAAAGGAAACCAAAAATTAACTGAAATTAAAAATTAACTGCAACATATTCACTAACATGTAACTCACCTAAATGTCACCTTTTTCTCCTTAAGTCACCTAAAGTCGCCTTAAATCACCTTAGGTCGCGCAACATTTTGGCCAAATTTTCCTAAAGTCGCCTTAAATCGCCTTAAGTTGCCTAAAATTACGGCGACTTAAGGTCCCAGAGTAGGCCTTGAACCTACCGTGAACGCCGTGTTTGTTCACGGTATGCAACGTGAGCATTTCTCTGAGCTTCTCAGCGCCAACATCATCAACTGAGCGAGAGCTTTACGCGTATGTCCCAAATGAATCCACACAAAGTCAAACTGTTTTTTGACAAAACTTGTCCGTTTATTGTTCTTGACTATAACCTGAGATCAGGCCCATTTTAGCAGTTCTCATCACCGGCGGCCCAGACGTACCTACAATTGCAAAACTCAACAAAATGCCACTTTAACCGGCCAGGAAAGACAAGGATACGTTCGGTTAAAGGTATCTTAGCTTTGTTTTGTTATATTTTGACTTTTGGACTATTTTGGTTCATGGGGGTTTCGACGACTCATATTTTGTCTATGTGAATATTAATATATTCATTTGACACATACTATGTCTGGGCGGCCTGTGGCTACTACCGCTAAAAATTGGGCTCTCTTTTCGTTTCGCCATGCCCGCCGGAATGTTGATTTACAATGCGAAACGAAAATTGAGCCTGATCTCAGGTTATCTTGACTATGACATAAGCAGACAAAGTATATTTTAGAATAGAAGGTTATTAAGTGATAAACGAGCTATAAATCTAGTCCAATGTTTTCTTTGCTTTATAAAAAAGCCTTTTGTTAAATTGAAGAAACACTGACTGCTTTACAAAAACTTAAAGTTCTTGTAATACACCACATTGTTGTAACCATTGGCAACCAAGACACCACCACGTTTTCTGATTGGATAGCGCGGGTTGAATGACGTCACCAATGTGCCTTTGAGGTAGACCTTCACTTCCCCGGCAGGTGTGGAATTAGACACTACCACCCTGATGTTGAACCATTCTGCTCCCTTGGGGCGACCGTCTGGGCAAGAGGCGGACTTTGCTCCGTCAAATTTTGGTTGACCTTTGTAAACGTAACCCGTCTGAAAACATAAGCTGGATGAATGAGGCCTGGGAAATAAAAAGAAACAATACATAAAATTAAGCAAATGCGACTAAAAACTGAGGTAAAAGGCTTAAATACAACATAACTCATTCACAACAACATGTCAGCTTATAGCACTCCCCATCTTCAGAGTTCTAATTCTCCGAAATCATTTCCGTAAACGGAACTGGTCGTAAAAAGGTTTTGCGGGATCGCTCAGGTTTGAAATCAAAACAGTGACTGCAGCCTCTTAAATCTCAACAAACCTGAAATAGACGAAGTCATAGTTATCTTGATCTTCAGCGTTTAAAAACACTCCTGGATGACCAAAGTTGACTCTTCCACTTCCAATGAAGTTGTACATATCTACTGAGAGCTGGTAACTTGATGTACTGCTGTCTCTAAGGTATGCTACTAGACAGAAGCCATCCTGCGGCCAACGTCCGTGAGCAGCATCCACTTTAGTGTATCCTGGTAGCTCATCAACCTGCGTATATCCGTTAGATGAACAAGATTTCGCGTAGGAAAATCAAATGTTAAAATGCCCCTTCACCAGCCACCCCCCAGGGAAGGGGGATGGACTCCCATATAAAAAAGAAGGGGAACCCCTTACGAATATTAATTTGGAAGTGACGGAGAGTTTATTTCAACCCTTAAGGAGATTGGTCTAAAACCGACAACTTGGAAAAAGCAAGAGCCATTATGGCTCTTGCAAAAAGCTATTGTGGTTTTAACTTTGGTAAAGATGGTGATACCGAATATTACACGAGTGAAAGAAATATAAAGTTCGGAGAACACGTTATATTATAAGTCAATTTATGGTCGACTCGAGGAATTCTCGTCAAGCAAAGTTAGGTTGCTTTAGAATTTTTATAAAACTGAAGTCGCTGATGAGAATTATTTCTCACATTGGCCGTTTTCACTCTGGAGACGGATTATCCGTCTGAGACGGGTTATCGGTTGAATAATTCGCTCCAGACAGATAACACGACTTAATTTGAAAATGGAACGGTTTTAATTTTGGATGAACAATCCGCCTGACTTTGTCCATCTGTTCATCCGTCAATTTTGACGGATTTTGCAGATGGATTATCCGTCTCTAATGTGAAAACGGCCATTGTCATCGAATGATCGATGTCAAGTACTGCTTTGGTGATGTCGAGGTTTGACACTACCTTTTTGCATCTTTTAGTAACGAGCGTTTGAGGCGCAACTTTAAACTTCCTGAAGAGGATCACATTTTTGTAACCAAGGAAAGTGAACACTCCTCCCCAGGCCCTTGGAGCAAAATGGGACTTGACGGACGCCACCAGGACTCCACTGTGGTACACTTGTACGTCTTGACCGTGCACCGTGACCGAGACTGGGAACCATACACCACCCTTTGGAGGTCCATTAGGACACGCGGAACTCAAATTTATGACGGGATCATTTCGATTGCGAATAGGTATCATTTCGGTGGTGGGGATCATTTCGGTGGTGATTGGGGGTCATTTCGGTTGCGGGGATCATTTCGATGGTGGGGATCATTTCGGTGGCGGTACATCCCTACGCTCATGGACGTCCATTTCTTAACACCAGGGTTCATCACCGGCAATTGAATTGTTCGCTTCAGTACTGAAACAGCTTACAATCAAGTCTTCAGCCATAGTGATCAGCAACTGGTAAAATACTTTGCTCATAAATTATGCTTATTAATTGCTCATGTACTACACAGATCGATAGTTCTCTCTTTGAGTTAACGAAACGGTCCCGGCGTTCCAAAACTGACGCTCACAGTCATCTTTTAGTATGAACCTACCGTGAACGCCGTGTTTGTTCACGGTATGCAACGTGAGCATTTCTCTGAGCTTCTCAGCGCCAACATCATCAACTGAGCGAGAGCTTTACGCGTATGTCCCAAATGAATCCACACAAAGTCAGACTGTTTTTTGACAAAACTTGTCCGTTTATTGTTCTTGACTATAACCTGAGATCAGGCCCATTTTAGCAGTTCTCATCACCGGCGGCCCAGACGTACCTACAATTGCAAAACTCAACAAAATGCCACTTTAACCGGCCAGGAAAGACAAGGGTACGTTCAGTTAAAGGTATCTTAGCTTTGTTTTGTTATATTTTGACTTTTGGACTATTTTGGTTCATGGGAGTTTCGACGACTCATATTTTGTCTATATGAATATCAATATATTCATTTGACACATACTACGTCTGGGCCGCCTGTGGCTACTACCGCTAAAAATTGGGCTCTCTTTTCGTTTCGCCTTGCCCGCCGAAATGTTGATTTACAATGCGAAACGAAAATTGAGCCTGATCTCATGTTATCTTGACTATGACATAAGCAGAAAAAGTATATTTGAGAATAGAAAGTTATTAAGTGATAAACGAGCTATAAATCTAGTCCAATGTTTTCTTTGCTTTATATAAATAGCCTTTTGTTAAATTGAAGAAACACTGACTGCTTTACAAAAACTTAAAGTTCTTGTAATACACCACATTGTTGTAACCATTGGCAACCAAGATACCACCACGTTTTCTGATTGGATAGCGCGGGTTGAATGACGTCACCAATGTGCCTTTGAGGTAGACCTTCACTTCCCCGGCAGGTGTGGAATTCGACACTACCACCCTGATGTTGAACCATTCTGCTCCCTTGGGGGGACCGTCTGGGCAAGAGGCGGACTTTGCTCCGTCAAATTTTGGTTGACCTTTGTAAACGTAACCCGTCTGAAAACATAAGCTGGATGAATGAGGCCTGGGAAATAAAAAGAAACAATACATAAAATTAAGCAAATGCGACTAAAAACTGAGGTAAAAGGCTTAAATACAACATAACTCATTCACAACAACATGTCAGCTTATAGCACTCCCCATCTTCAGAGTTCTAATTCTCCGAAATCATTTCCGTAAACGGAACTGGTCGTAAAAAGGTTTTGCGGGATCGCTCAGGTTTGAAATCAAAACAGTGACAGCAGCCTCTTAAATCTCAACAAACCTGAAATAGACGAAGTCATAGTTATCTTGATCTTCAGCGTTTAAAAACACTCCTGGATGACCAAAGTTGACTCTTCCACTTCCAATGAAGTTGTACATATCTACTGAGAGCTGGTAACTTGATGTACTGCCGTCCCGAAGGTGCTACTTGACAGAAACCATCCTGCGGCCAGCGTCCGTGGGCAGCATCCACTTTAGTGTATCCAGGTATCCAATTAACCTGCGTATATCCGTTAGGTGAACAAGATATCGCGTAGGAAAATCAAGTGTTAAAATGCCCCTTCCCCATCCATCCCCCAGGGAAGGGGGATGGACCCCCATATAAAAAAGACGGGGAACCCCTTACGAAGATTAATCTGGAAGTGACTGAGGGTTTATTTAAACCCTTAAGGAGATTGGTCTAAAACCGACAACTTGCAAAAAGCAAGAGCCATTATTGCTCTTGCAAAAAGCTACTGTGATTTTAACTTTGGTAAAGATGGTGGTACCGAATATTACACGAGTCAAAGAAATATAATTTTTGGAGAACACGTTATCTTATAAGTCAATTTATGGTCTACTCGAGGAAATCTCGTCAAGTACTGTTAGGTCGCTTTAGAATTTTTGTAAAACTGAAGTCGTTGATGAGAATTGTTTCTCATATTGGCCGTTTTCACTCTGGAGACGGATTATTCGTCTGAGACGGGTTATCCATTGAAAAATTCGCGCCAGACAGATAATAGGACTTAATTTGAAAATGGAACGGTTTTACTTTTGTATGAACAATCCGCCTGACTTTGTCCATCTGTTCAACCGTCAATTTTGACGGATTTTGCAGATGGATTATCCGTCTCTAGTGTGAAAACGGCCATTGTCATCGAATGATCGATGTCAAGTACTGCTTTGGTGATGTCGAGGTTTCACACTACCTTTTTGCATCTTTTAGTAACGGGCGTTTGAGGCGCAACTTTAAACTTCTTGAAGAGGATCACATTTTTGTAACCAAGGAAAGTGAACACTCCTCCCCAGGCCCTTGAGCAAAATGGGACTTGACGGACGCCACCAGGACTCCACTGTGGTACACTTGTACGTCTTGACCGTGCACCGTGACCGAGACTGGGAACCATACACCACCCTTTGGAGGTCCATTAGGACACGCGGAACTCTTTACGAAATTCAACTTTCCATTGGCCATGTACCCTGTCTGGTAACATCCGCTGGCCGAGTGCGGTCTAATTCATTTTGAATAAGAGCATAAGAAAATCAACGTTAAAAATAGACGATCTCGTCTCTCTTAACTACGGTGTACTTTACCTATCGTGGGGCACGAAATTTTTGTAGGTTCTAATTCTTCGGGATTTTTTCAGCGATCGGTAAAAAACAAACCGCAAACATTTTTCCTCCCAATGTATTCCAGAGTAAATTTTCTGTAACTTAAATTCGCCACACAAAAATTCAGTGCTAAGAAATCGTGCCTGTTCAATTACAACTTGTCTCTTTCTTTCAGAAACAAAACGGTATACAATGAAATACTAGTTCGTGGTTTGAAAATATGTATTTCTATTGCACGTACTCAATTACAAAGGAAAAAATTGTCAATGCTGGGTACTGCGGAGTACTTTCTGAAAATAGCAAAAAGCAATTCGCAGCACGAAAAACCAATCTTCCTAATCGCAAACTGGGAAAACACAAAAAATCGCCAATCGGCAAAAATTAACTCCCGCAAAAATTTCGTGCCACACGGTATTCGTGCACTCATGTTGTCAAGAGGACTGTGCAATGGACCTCTCAAGCTTATATGTTTTGTTTGCTAAATGTAGGTTATGTGATAAAATATTCTAATACTCTGATTGACGATTACATATCAGTCAGTATTCCTTACTTTGTATCCTGCGACTCTGTTAACGTTCACCTCATTAGATTAAAAGTTAGACAAAAAAATATTTAACAATTATTCCTCGAGCCCGAATGGGCTCCGAGTCAATAGCCCATGAGGCCGAATAATTGTTTTAGAAAAATCCAACTAGTTGGTCAAAAATATCGAGACAAAACAACTTTAACTAGTCAAACGCGATTCAGCCGCTATTATTTTGGTTTTCAAAGCCGGCACTTTTCGCTGCTAGTGGGCTATAACATATAGCCTGGTAGTAGCTCAGCCAATCAGAATGCAGCATTGATAATAGAGCACTAGTTGGATTTTATTATTTCATAATAGACCAAACTCACCGGAAGTAAACAAAGTCAAAGTTGTTTTCATCGAAAGCGTTGTACAGTAGTCCAGGATGTCCGCTGTTTATTCCGCTCCAACCCATCTGGTTCAGAAGTTCCGCTGACACGCTATAAGCCTGTGTTTCGTCAGTTGGATGAGAAAGTGCTCTACATATACCTGACCCTGGGTTCCTGGCATCCAGCGTGAAGTGGTTGTCTTTAATAGATTTTACCATGCTTGCGCATTGTACTACAGCAGAAGCCGAAAACTTGCTACCATCTGGGATAAGAAAAGAAAGTACATATTTTTAATAAGAAACTAAGTCTACATTATTCTTAGCTTGAGTTTCCTTCATTTTTAGTCTATACTCGTTTGTCCCTAAGTGGAAGACATAGTAGTCCGCCTGAGACATTCAGATCGATCGGCAGATACTAAATTTTGCAAGGTTTTAGTGTAAAATTACCAAAAGGTTTAATTTGGAACGAATTGGAAAGAGCCATTAAGTCACAGAATAGTCACTAAACGTCTTGCTTGAAGTACAGGGCCGTTTACCAAACAATTTACTATTTTATTTGACTTACCGGTATATCCTGTTTTTGTTGTGGTCGGGTACACAGGGAACTAAAATGTAACACCCACCGACATTTTTGTCTGATTTTGGCAACATATCCTTTTCTTACTAACTCGAGTACCCTGATTTCCAAAATCATTTGTTGCCAAGCTCAATTCTTGTGTTAAGATGGTATTTTAGGGCATTTTATTATTATGACGTTATTGTCCAAAAAAAGGAGTTTTTTCCTTTAACAATTTTAAGTTACATATAACCAGAAGCGCTTTAAATTTGTGATAAGGTGCACTGTAAAGATAATTAACCCATTCGCCCCTGAACCGCCCGTAACCGCCCGTGCGGATCCAGGTCCTTTCTACCCTTTGTGACGTCATCAGTTTTAACGGTCAAGGACAACTTTCTTCGCTAACTTATGCAGAGTGAAGAGATCTGTCAAACCATACCAGAATGAGCACAATTCAGTCGAGGACACCGGAGAAAGAAGCAAAAAACCACGTGACATGGACCTGAAAATCTGCATGAAAATCTTGTTCCATTGCTCACCTACCTTTCCTTTCACCTAATCCTAAGATCCTAAAAGCTTTCCTAAAAACTCTTGCCACCAAAATGAAGCCTACTAAATGCCCAGCAAGAGAAAAAAAAATGAGGCAACAAAAGCGAAAAAAGAAGGGAGGAGAGGAAGCGAAAAGTAAAAGTCAAGACTGCTGTGTCACTTTTAAACCCAAAAATCTCGAAATTTTGCTTTCTACGCATGCCCGAACTTCGCAAGCTGATATTTTGCATCTGGATCAGAAGGCCGCGAAGTGTACGACCTGTAAACCGGTTTGTGGTAAGTTTTAGCTCTTTATAGCACGACAGTGACCAGAAAACCACTCCACTAGCTTCAAAACGCGTTTTTCGGCAAAATCTCCAGGAGCGAATGGGTTGAGAAAAATTCTGACAGATTTTTATGCTGTTTCTACGCATATTAAGCCGTCCCTAGACAAATGACCACGCCCTTCGATATAGAATGCTTATTTTTGGTTCAGTTACTTTTTGAGGAACAAATGTACTAATTGTATTAACAAAACGCTGCAATTCAAAACATGCAACCCTTTCAACATCGTCCATAACACGTCTTTGTGGTAACTGCAAAACCTTTCTGTTCCTTTACCAAGCACGTTGTGATAAAAACGTTTACGGGTAATTTAATGGTGAAAACTAATGACAAGACAAAGGGTGTCCAGAAGTGGCTAGATCTGACTAGATGATGAGTGGTGGCATTGTCTTTATCAAGAAAACTTGTTCCGTGCTTAGCAGATGGGTTCTCTCCTCCACCTGGGTTTCCATATTGGTGCGCAAACATCAACGATGTCGTTTTATTTAACATTCACCACTATGCGGACCACTTGATCCATAAGAAAGAGTGCCAGGAAGAGACAAGAGCAAGATAATGAAGCTGCAAATGCACTTCACTACAAAACTTTGGGATGCTCTTCTCTCAGACCAAAAAAATCCTGCCGGTGATGACCTCGGAAATTGAGCAGTCCTTTGTCTAAGTTGTTCTAATTGAAGGGACACACTGAGGTTGAAAATTTGTGGAATGTTAAGGAGGCTACTTTCTTCAGACGGAAAAGAAGAACGGCATTACAAAGTTAAAAGTTCTAGTTCTACACGTAGACAAGAGAATGTTATGTTGCCTAGTCACAGCTTATGAATTGAGGGGCGAGGTAAAAATACACGCCATATTAAAACATCAGTTAATGCCAGTGACACTGCCTTTCGCAGAAATCATGAGCCACAACATGCAAATGGGAAACAAGTCTTTTTTAGCAGACTTTCTGACAGAGAAAGCCAAGTGCCCGTAGTCAATCACACTTCAAGGAAATGCTGCTTTGTTCATCGATCTGGCTAATTTCTTTCGTACAACTTATGCAAATCCAGAAAAAGCAAACCATTAATTCGGAGGCTTTTTGAGCTGCCACGTAAACTTTGTAATAAAGGGAAGGTTAGGCTCATAGGGGATCGTTGTGTTATTCGATCGTTATCAGAGACAATCCACTAACAAGCAACAACAAGAAGTCGGAGATCAAAGAAGGCTCCATTGCAAGTATTTATTGCACTAAGAGACAATAAAACGGATTTAGCACGGTCTTCGATTCTCTTAGACGAATGTATCGCACAAGCAGCCGCTAACACTACAATCGTCGTATCTAGTGGTTGTTCAAATTAAAAGTAATTTTCCTTTCAGGTCCTGTCCTCGATGTAGCTGTTTTGAAATCCAACCACGAAGAAGCCGATAGGAAATTTTCTTCTTTTGTTCTCCATGTAATCATTTCTAATTATACAACAGGCATATCAACGCGGTTTTGCGCCAGACACACATTCCAAAAGCGGTGCATCGGCACCCTGAGGAGACAGGATGAAGGCTGAAACTGAAGATCTACTAGTCCCTGTCTTTATGATCCTCGATACAATCCCAGAGGCTTGTCTGGAGAGAATTTTAAACTGGTTCGCCACTACTGAGCTGCGCTGTAAATATAGTGAGTTGAATGTCCTGTGCACGCGGCTATGTGGATGTTCTTAGGCCGACGCTAACTGATCTGTCAAACGGCACTCATTTATTTTAAAATCAATGTTGAATAGTTTAAGAAAGTTTAGAAAATTTATTAACAATATTTACAATACTAATCAACAAATTATATTTGGCCAACTGAAACCTTAGAGTAAAGAGCAACGTCCTGTCATGTTTTATTTTAGATTTTTACATGAATTCTACTTGTCACTATATGAACCCGACAAAGTAAATAGCTGTAAATGGTGAAATGCTTGACTTAGATTCAACAATATACAATTAATACTAAAACGTTATCTCCACCTATAACTTTAAAAATGTTTTCCACCAAAATATCACAACCAAAGTGTGAAGTCACAAAAAAAAAATTGTGAAATTATGGGATTTGTAAGGATATTCTGAAAGAACAACATCCAGGAGGCCTACTTCATGAAAAACTAGCATTTCAGGGCAATTGTCTCTGAGATATTAGCCCAGTTATGCTCCGATGACTCCATACAAATCCCTCTACATTTGACTCAGTTCATAACATTAGGAACCGAGTCAAATTTACAGTTTCTTTTTTTCCTGATTGCTTTGTTTTACAGCAACAAGCTGCTTCTTCCTTTTATACATTTAATTGCCTCTATTTTATTTACGCGCATACTGAATTTACGGTGTGAAAAATTACGCGACGGTGAAAATCCACCAGAACTTTTATAAACTTCCAAATATTTTCTCCCACAGCCAAGAAAATTATTTGAAAGAGAAATTATAGCCTGTAACAGACGTTTCTCCTCGTTCATTGCCGCTGAGAAACGTCTGTTTTCGCCGGCTAAGGAAACTAAAACCCACAGCCTTCGCATATTGCGCTCTGGAAGGACCCTTCAATGCAACAATTTTCAATGGGCTCAGCCCTAATGCCCGGAGAGGTACTTCCTATGATGGCCTATACGGGGATGCTCCGCCCGAAAACGGTCCCTTTTTTAGTCCCCAGGTATATAAAAGAAAAGGGATTTCATTCGTATTTAAAAGACAATACATTTACAGCAGTTAAAAGAGATGCAAAGTTCTAAACGAGGTATGTAAAAGATGAAAGTGAAGAATGATCATCGCAGTAAATTTTCCAATTTAAGCAATTGGAAAGAAGAAGCCTGAAAAAAATCAGGGCTTCAACGGGATTCGAACCGCGTTACCAGTGCGTTGCTCTACCAACTGAGCTATAAAGCCACACATTGGGAGCGAGGTCAATTTATTGAGTTCATATCTCCCGTGAGGAGTGAAATGATGTTAGTATATATGAAATAATTCATGTAAAAGAGTTACCCCTCCCCAGTCCCTAATGCCTGCTATGCGCGGGTCGCCTGCAACGCAAGAAAGCTACCCTAAATTCCCTTTTGCTTGCCTGTATACGAGAGATGCCGCCACGTGGTGCATGAGTTTCACTCTAGGAACTTTCACCGCGCTAGAGATTTTTTTATTAGTGGATTTGACCCAAAAAAACTGCTAAATGCTCATTAGCCTTACCTTCATCACAGCGACCGCCAAGTATCGCGCTGTGTTCTTTAACCTTCTTCTCCAAACGATCTTGCCTGTTCGAGACGTTATGGAATACATTGCACACGTTTCGAACAGAACATTGTTGCTGGCTTGTTGAACTACCCTCAGTGCAATACACGTTCAACAGCAAAAGAGTACACACGATAAAGGAAGCGAAATGCTCCATGTTTTGTGACTAATCTTCGTGTCAAATAGCATGGCCTAGCAAGTGCCTTTTATATCATTATAACCCTTACAGCCGTGACACACAGTAATCCCATCAAATGTGTTTTCTCCTCGTCAAAGCGGGTGCACCAATAAGAGACATGTTCTAGTACAAATTACGCTGAAACGTCTTGAAACGGTATTGACAGGAAGTGGATTTATCGCTTGAACCAGGTTGATAATAGGGACCTTAAGCAACGACGACGACGGCAGCAAAAACGTCGCTAAAAAATGAATTTTCCTTCTTTCAAACTTAATCGCGTCTACTTTGGACCCGCTAAAAATGTCACATGCAGGCGACCTTTCTTGGAGTTGAATTCGTAAGGATTTTACTCAGGTTCAAAAAGAGGAAGGAGCCGATTCGTCGTCGTATGTCCTCGTCCTCCATAAAACGTCAAAGTAGGAGGTTTCACGTCGTAATCGGGCAGTGGACGTCAAAGAATGTACTAAAAAGCGTTATGCACGTGCAGAGCTGTTGTTTTGATCATTAAACCCATTGCCAGTTTTGAAGTTGTCGTCGCAGTTGCTTAAGCTCCCTATTATTCAAGAAAATAGCTTAGCATCCGGTCACGGCGGGATTTCTTTAGGCAGTAATCGAGTAAAATGAACAAATAACAGCACGTAACCTTTTTTAAAGAGGGAGAACGCAAGGTTTAGGTACTTCCGCTTAATAGTTGATTGTCGATCTTTCAGTGTCAACCTTCCAAATGTCCTTAGTTGGGTAACAATCTGTTAGGTGAAGCTCGTAATTACATACCATTTCTAACAAAGACGAGGAAAAGTGACAGTTCTCTTTAAAAAAGGGCTCAATATATTTTTTTCTGAACGTGCTTTGACCAACATGGCTTGTAGTCAACAGATAGCAATCCAACAAGCTGGAGGCCGGTCATTATTATATCGGGCACTTGTCGCGCGACAAAACTTCACGTGTAAAGACCCTGTGATATGAGCGCAATTTGACGCATGCAACTCGCAGCCAATTCTCTGTTCATGATCGAAGGTACGAGAAAACCATACCACTACCATGCAGCTATCCCGTTTAGGTAAAAAGCAACGTTATTTAGGAATTCCCGTAAGCAAAAACCTCAGAACAAAAAAAAGAAAAGTGATAAAAGAAATGGTTTCAGTATGAATAATTCCTGGAAGGGTACTCAACATGTTTTATACAGGGAGGCTCTTTCCCCCCCGCCCCCCCCCCCCAAGGTCTCACCCTTTATCCTTTTATACACCCTTTTTGACAGAAAAAGTACTCCTTTCATATACCTTCAGGAAATTGTCTCTTTTCTATTAGCCCTTTTAGGTCTTTTAACCGACGGAAATAACAGGTTTGGCTACCCTTTATATACTTCAACTGGTGAAATCCCCACCCTGATAAAGGTACGTACTCCTTTCGGGCCGAGCCTCGGTGTATAGGACATTATGGGGAGTACCCCCCCCCCTGGAAATAATTAATTGTATTGTATAAACACCAATGAAATACCAAGTGAGCTTTCGCGCGAAAACTTGATATCTTCACATGTGAAAATAACTAGCCTGTGAACAGGCTCTCTGTTTGGGGAAAAAGGCCTGTTCACAGGCTAGAAAATAACATGTTATCTTCACATGTGAAAATATCACCATTGCTATGGCTTCATGATAAACCGCACCTTTCAGACCAAATTACGTTTAAAGTAAAATGGTTCGGCATTTCATTGGTGTTTATATAATAAATAGAATATTACATGGTCGCTTGGAGATACGAAATTTCTCTTCTCGTGTTGGAAAAAATATTTCACTCGTTCGCTGCGCTCACTCGTGAAATATTTTTCAACACTCGAAGAGAAATTTTGTATCTCCGCGCGGCCATGTAATATCCTCTATATTCAACATAAAACATACATTAGAGGATAAACTTGATCTGATCTGATTTCAAGTCAACAAGCCCATGTTGTGCTATTGGAGGCAATACGAGAAGCAGGCCAAGTAGAATACTCAAGGATTTTTAATTGCAGAATGTTGAAGAAGAAGATTACAGAATCAAGGTCCAAGGTCAAGTAACTCTTCTCACTGGGGTTTCTTTGGGCCATAATCGCGTAAAATGAACAAACAACAGCACGTAACCTTCTTTTAAAGAAGGAGGACGCAAGGTTTAGGTACTTCCGCTTAATAGTTGATCCTCGATCTTTTAATGCCAACCTTCCAAATGTCCTAAATTGGGTAACAATCTGTTAGGTGAAGCTCGTAATTACATACCATTTCTAACAAATACGAGGAAAAGAGACAGTTCCCTTTAAAAAAGGGCTCAATATATTTTTTTCTGAACGTGCTTTAACAACCATGGCTTGTAGCCATTCAGGAAACAGGTAGCGATCCATCAAGCTGGAGGCCGGCCATTATTATATCGGGCACTTGTCGCGCGACAAAAAACTTCACGTGTAAAGACCCTGTGATTTCAGCGCAATTTGAGGCAGGCAACTCGCAGCCAATTCTCTGTTCATGATCGAAAGTACGAGAAAACCATACCACTGCCATGCCTATCCCGTTTGGGAAAAAAGAAACGTTATTCAGGAATTCCCGTGAGCAAAAACCTCAGAACAACAAAAAGAAAAGTGATTAAAAAAATGGGTTAAGAATGAATAATTCCCGGAGGGTACTCAACAAAGTTTTATACGGGGAGGCTCCCCTCCCCCCAACCTCGCCGAGGTCTCACCCCATATCCTTTTATACACCCCTTTTGACAGAAAAGGCATTCCTTTCATATACCTTCTATTGACAAATGCTACCCCTGTCACATACCTGGTCTAGAACATTGCATCCTCTTCAATTGCTGTGAATTCACTGTCTTGAAAATATGAAAAAATCACAAAACCAGCAAATTTTCTCTTTTCTATTAGCCCCTTTAGGTCTTTTTAGCGACGGAAATGACAGGTTTCGCTACCCTTTATATACTTCATCTGGTGAAATCCCTTCCCTGAAATAAGTACGTACTCCTTTCTGGCCGAACCTCAGTGTATAGGACATTATAGGGAGTACCCCCCGGGAAAAAATTAATTATTCAACGTAAAACAGACATTATATGATAAACTTGATCTGATCTGATTTCAAGTCAACAACCCCATGTTGTGCCATCATCGGAGCAAATACGAGAAGCCGGCCAAGTAGAATACTCAATACTGTGCAGAATGTTGAAGAAGATGATTACAGGATCAAGGCCCAAGGTCAACTAACTCTTCTCAAGCAAACGCTTCCAATTCATTTCATTTATTGTTGGTTTTCACATGACGTCACTAAAATTCAAACTACAAAACTATCGATCCTACTGAGATTTTACTTTCATGGTGTATAAGGGCAGCTGAAAACTAATTTTCAAAGAAATTTTCGCTTCAAAAGGGTTCTTATGGTTTTGCAATAGAGTAGGCTTGATTCTCTAAGCTTTTGCGTGACGCAGAATTTACATGACGCCCGAGAGAGCTGTCATTTGGGTTAAAAAAGTGACTTTTTTCGAGGAATTTTGCTATCCAAACAGTTCAAGTATTAGAAAAAGTATCACTTTAATGTTTATGAGTTTCTCTAGGAGTAAATTCACGCTTTTGTAGCAAAACTCGGTAACAGATGTTTCTGTTGGTTTCCGTCTGCCATGTTGGAGCTCATCCGGATGAGTTCCAACATGGCGTCTCCATACAAAGCTCTATAAATTTGGGTAAAACATTTCCTCGGATATCTCGTATACGAATCATTCCCTCGACCCAAATCTTGGCGAGGGTCTTTGTATATTTACCTCCTTTCATTTCCCAGATTCTGGACTTAATCTGTCGAATGGTCTTGATTTTGATTTTGATTTATTTTGAATGGCGTGACGCTGAAAACCAGCAATATCATCTTGCTTTGAATTGAGAGACAAACTTGTCTCCGGAATAATTAATCCTACTGATTGTTGAAAATAAGCAATGATTAATATATTTAAAATTATTTTAAACAATTAATTTAAAAAGGAATCAGTGATATAAATTCAAGTAGCTTTTGCAATACTGTAATCTGACTTTGTTATAGTCATCTAATGTTTATCTTGCCTCCATTTTATTTACGTGATTAAAATTAACGTGCGTTAATGTACGTAACCAAAAACGCGTCAGTAGAAATCAACCTGTACTTAACAAACCACTGATCGCGTTGTTTGCTTTTTAGTAAGAACAAAATGTTTCTACTCTTTGGCTTTAGGCTTTGCGTGCGGAACCTTCTTCTCAATGTTGACGATAAACGGCTTAAAGAAATTTTCAGCACCGTGGCAGGACGAAATGCAGTTGTCAAGAAGGTGCTGATAATTCGCAGCAAAGATCGCGTGGACAGTTCGGGCCGCGGACGATCTATGGGATATGGTTAAGTGGAGTTTACCAATCACAACGACGCTTTGGCAGCCCTGCGCGCAACCAATAAAACTCCAGACATATTTTGCGCCGATCGTCGCCCGATTGTTGAGTTTTCATTGGAGAATAGCCTCGTTGTCAAGGTGAAACAGCGGCGGTTAGACAAAGCTCGACAAAGACAGGAGCCAGATAATGAACAGCCCAAGAAGAGAAGAGACTGGAAAAGAGTCAGAAACGGAGAGAAAAAAGGCAGCGAAATAGAGAAGCGAGCAAGGAAAGAAAATTAGAGGAGGGAATTAAGGAGCGCAAAGAAGACACAGGAAGCAAGGAGGACAAAACTCCAAACAGCGACGTAAAGTTCGAAAGAAAAAATAGTGAAAATTCATGGAAAACGAAAAAAGGAAAGAGGACATTTTCAGCGGAGCTACCAACTTAGCGAAATCTTGGTAAAACTGATCGTCAAAAACAAAGAAAGTTTCCACCCATTTCTTCAAACGTGAATAAATCCTATAATGAGCCTGGGGTAGCGAAAACCAATTTACCAGCGGCTATAAAGGATAACAAAAGGAAGAAACCTCTGAAAGGACGGGGGAATATTGGTAAAACTTTTCACAAAAGAGCTGATTCATTTACTCCCACCAACGCAAATAACGAAGTGACGAATAGAAAAAGGAAAGAAGCTAGGCAGAAAAAGCAAGAGAAAAAAGGCGAATCCAGCTTCAACGACATGGTGAACAAATATACTGAGAATAAGTTGTTTGGAAGGAATGAAGGCAAAGTTCCCGCTAAACGTTCGTGCTGGCTTGATGATTGATTGTTTTCCGCTCATAGTTTGTCAGTTTGCAGCTTGTCGTAAAGATGAAATCGTGTAAATCTTTTTTTTTTTTTTTATCTTGACAATTTAAACCGATTATGGAAAGTGCATGTAACTCGCGGTTTCTGCGATACAGTGAAAAGCCGCAAGTAACAACCTTCATTTTCTTAAGTTAGTTTTAACAGATTCTTACATAAAGTGGTAATAAGCACATTTTTCTTTTTTCACACCGTTATCCTCCGATTACTTCACTTATTATAAATCCTTCTAAAATAGGCCTGGACGGTTACGATCCAAGTCAGTTTTAGAAGTATTCAGTGGAAAGTCATCAGAGTATTACAGTACTTATATCTCACCACCAATTTGCACTAACGGGCTGATTTTCAGCAGCTGGGCATTTTTCATCTTGTTTTTCCTGTGTATGCTAAAGAATCCCATAATTTCACAAAATTTTGTTCTTTTTGAGTTCATCACTTCTCCTCTATATAGTATAGTGATCTATATGGTTGCACTGAAAGACAAATGATTCCACAGAGCTTTACACAAAGGCTTTATATTTTGTTTTTAATCCTTTCAATGACATTTGAAAGTAAGCTGCAACTTGTTATCATCGATGCCAAACTACAAGTGATCGACACTATAGTTGTATATGGTTTTAACCCTGTAAAATCTAACTGTTATTAAGCTTTTGTTTAAAAAAGCCGTTCTTTATGTTGACGCAACAGAGACTTCCTTACAAGAACTTGAAGTTCTTGTAATACACCACATTATTGTAACCATTGGCAACCAAGACACCAACACTTTTTCTGATTGGATAGCGCGGGTTGAATGACGTCACCAATTTTCCTTTGAGGTATACTTTCACTTCCCCGGCAGGAGTGGAGTTCGACACGACCACCCTGATGTTGAACCATTCTGCTCCCTTGGGGGGACCGTTGGGGCAAGAGGCGGACTTTGCTCCGTCAAATTTTGGTTGACCTTTGTAAACGTAACCCGTCTGAAAACATCCGCTGGATGAATGAGGCCTGGGAAATAAAAAGATACAATAAGTAAAATTAAGCGAGTGCGATTATAAGACCAGTAAAAGGCTTATTGGATAACTGAGCCACGAAAACATGTCAGCTAATATAGCACTCCTCATCTTCAAATAGAATTTCTAATACCCCGAAAATACCCCCGAAATCATTTCCAAACTGGTCGTAAGAAGGTATTGAAAAATTCAAATTGTCGCTCAAGTTTGAAATCAAAATACCGATAATTTCCCTCTTATGCGTGTATAAATTGCTACAAACCTGAAATAGACGAAGTCATAGTTGTCTTGATCTTCGGCGTTTAAAAACACTCCTGGGTGACCATAGTTGACTCCCCCACTTCCAATGAAGTTGTACATATCGACTGAGAGCTGATAACTTGATGTACTGCTGTCTCTAAGGTACGCTACTTGACAGAAGCCATCCTGCGGCCAACGTCCATGGGCAGCATCCACTTTAGTGTATCCAGGTAGCTCATCAACCTGCGTACATTAAATTACGTGTATGTGTTGAAGTAAAATCTTGTGTGAAAATTCCTCTTCATCACTCTTCTTGGAGAACAGGGTGGACTCGTCGGAAAATTAAGTAAAATTAAACTCAAAAAGGAGACCGATCCGAACGTGGTGTGTGCTATGTTTGAAGCCTTGAAGGACAAAAAAGTGTACTAAAAGCTACACTGAGTGATTTTTAAATGTGCTTAAGACCTGATATCAAAAAACATAACCCGAGCCGAAAGAACAAAAAATTGAAACTAGAGATTAAAACTAAGTATCCGAGTTCTTTACAGCCGTGTTGATGGGCCTTTAAATAAAGCAAAATGAGTCAGCATTTAATAAAGGCCAAACTGGTCATGTCACTTTTGGAGAACAAGTTTATAAGTTTATTAAGTTTATTTGTGTAGAGGAATCCCTATTTTTCGAACCATCTTGGGAAAAGGAAATAAGTTCGAACTCATTTATTACAGGTTTTGACTGGTAAAGGGAAGTTGTCTGTGGGCGCGATCCATTCAACCAAAATTTCCGGAAATTTCGGTCCAAAACTCAATGGATCGGTTCGGTCCAACCAGAAAAGTTTCGAAAAAACGGGTCCACCTTTTGAGGTGGACCACTTTTCCCGGTCGGACCGGTTGGAATTTTGGTTGAATGGATCGCGCCCTGTAGGTCTAATTTTTTTGGTTCATTGGGAAGTTCGAAAAAACCGAGGGCTGGAGAAATCGGCGGGATTCCACTGTAATGAACTAGCATTCTAGCATGGAATCTTGTAAAACAAAGTCGTAAAATCCCTTGTAAAACAAAGTCGTTGCTGAGAGTCATTTCTTATTGTGTCATTGACTGGCGTCAAAGTACCGCTTTTGTGTCATAGATGTTTCACACTACCTTTTTGCATCTCTTAGTGATGTACGTCTGAGGGGCAATTTTGAAATTCCTAAAGAGGACCACGTTTTTATAACCATGAAAAGTGAATACCCCTCCACAGGCCCTTGGAGCAAAATGGGACTTGATGGACGCCACCAGGACCCCACTGTGGTACACTTGTACATCTTGACTGTGCACTGTGACTGAAACTGGGAACCAGACACCACCTTTTGGAGGTCCATTAGGACACGCAGCAGTCTTGACAAGCGTCAACTTTCCATTGGCCATGTATCCAGTCTGATAACATCCACCGACCCAGTGAGGTCTGAATAAATAATTCTAATAAGAATCTGAGAAAACTTTTAACCTTCAAGAAACTGCTTCTCCGGACTGCAGTGTACTCCCGCCCATCTGGCCGCTCATCCTGTCCACAGGACTGTGCAATAATCTACTTACACAAGAGAGAATGCTCCCATCATTCTTTCTTGACTTATCAGACTTTGGATAATTTTGATGAGAACGCATTGCATGGAGCGGCCTCCCACGCAGACGGTTCTCAGGGCATCGTCACGTGTTCCTTCCTTTCCTTCGTGGGGAAGAACGCGTTACGAATCCCTAAAACGTCTGCGCGGTAGGCCATGCATGGAGGGAGGTCCGTACAAATTTAATACGCGATTTTACTTCCGCCAATCCCAGCATTTCCTGCGACCGTTATTACTTACTTCTAAATGCTTCTTACTTATAATAATATAAGGTGCTACCTTCTCCTACAGGGAGGGGTTAAGCTTTGGTTATGTAGGCCTTATTGGGGCATGTTCGCCACTTACCTTATTACTCTTTGGATCAATAATGTTCAAAGGGGATATTGAAGGCTTCTTTATTTATCACAAACAAGTTAGGATTAAGATATTGTAATTGATGTAAACGGAAACTCAAGTATCTTTCTCCCACGTTATTGTTAATGAAGAAAAAGGAACTGGAAATGAGTCTGTTTAACGCTTATATATCCCGGTCAATATCCAGCTTTTCTTCGTATCCTGCAATTCTGTTAAAGTCCAACTAGAGTTTAAAAGCCTGACAAAAAAATTCATAACAAAACAGATCAAACTCACCGGAAGTAAACAAAGTCAAAGTTATTCTCATCCAAAGCGTTGTACAGTAGTCCAGGATGTCCGGTGTTCACTCCCCGAAAACTCATCTTATTCAGAAGTTCCGCTGAAATGCTATAAGCCTGCGATTCGTCAATTGGATGAGAAAGTGCACGACACATAAGAATTGTGCTGCTGCCAAGGGCATCCAGCTTGAATTGGTTGTCTTTGATGGATTTCACCATGCTTGTGCATTCTACTACAGCGGAAGCTGAAAACGTGCTACCGTCTATGATAAGAAAAGGAAATACAAGAACACTAAATTGGGACTACTTGAAAAGAGTAAATAGAAAGGGAGGAAAAAGAATGGAAGTAAAAGGAAAAAAGGGAGTGAAAGGACGGCAAAGGAAAAAGGAAAAAAGGCAGAAGGAGGAAAAAAGAAAGAGGTAAGGAAAAGACTGAAAGGAAAGTGGGAAGGGAAGAAGGGAGAGGAAAGAGGAGAGAAAAATGGGACGTAAGGTGAAGGAGGGGGTAAAGAAAAAGGAAAGAAACGAGAAGAGTGACGTTTGACAAAAAAAAAATTCGGAATTCACTATGACATTTATATCGTTGCGCATATTTGAAAAGCACATATTGACATTCTAGTCCAAGCAGTATGCAAGATGTTTCTCACATGAACCAAGCTTAGTGGCCTTTGCTCCGACGAGTCTCCTGTGGCTCAGTGGTAGAGCATCTGGATTGCAAAAGGTCATAGGTTTGACTTCTTTTGAGAGTACTCGGATGTTTATTCCGAGTCCATGCGAGTCGCCTGTGTCAATGACTGAAGACTGAACATGAACATCTTTCTCAAGAGATATTGATTTTTATAGAACGCCGGTACTATAAATTAACCGGGTCAAACATTGCTTAGACAAAAATGGGTTGTTAACAGTAATACATGCCTTAGTCTCCACCAAAATGTACTGCTGTTCGAATGTCTGGGCAAATATCACAAATAAGAATGTTAGAAAATTGCAGATCGTTCAAAACGTTCCTTGCCGAATCGTCAGCGGAGCGAAAAAATATGATCATGTAACACCCCTCTTAAAAAGCCTGTCTTGGTTGCCTGTTAAGGACCAACTGTACTATCGCCAAGCTATTATGGCCTTCAAATGCATGACCAGTCACGCCCCTGAATATCTTACATCCCAATTTATTACCCGTGAGCAAGTTAGCCAACGAACAACTAGGAGTAGCCAAAAGCTAAACATCCCTCTTTTCAGAACAGCCTCCGGACTGAGAACCTTTTATTACATAACTGATAAGCTCTGGAAAAATTTAGAATCTTTTCTTGAATTAAGCTAATCTGTAAAAATCTTTAAACGTTCCTTAAGGAGCCAGCTTTTAGATAATTTTGTCAATACTTCTTAGTTAAGTTTAAAAACATTATAATTAGTAATTAACTAACATTGTAATTAGTATTAGGTTAAGTTTTGCAGTTAGTTATTATAAATAATGTAATATAATCATTGTTGCTGAAAAGCCCCTTTAGGGAGGTGACAATAAAGTATGTGTGTAAAGTATTATCTACCTTTTTAAATTTCTCTTTTCTACAAAGGTGATCAATTTTATAGCTTGCAAACACAGGACAATCTTCAGCTGATTTATCTGTGCCTTCCTGATTCAATCTACTTTCAATCCAGAGATTTCGTTTTTCAAACCGAAAATAATGATCAGAAGCCGGACAGAACGCAGCAATAGTAATAAATTCTCACTGGGAGCCCTTACTCCTAAACGCCTCCACGTTGGGATGAGTTATGGGAAGAGGTGAGCCCTACGGCGGCCACTTCCCGAGAGCTAAGGGCAAACTAACAACTCCGAGCTACCACAATAAACCAAAAACACGTAACTCTCCCCAAAACTCAAAAGAAAAAGTTTATTGACAACTCACGGTAGTCCTAGCACGATGACTAAAGAGAGAGAGAAAAGTGAAATAACCTCACGGGAAAACTGGCGCAAAGTTCTAAAGTTCACTGAGAGCCTTATGGAGGGCAAAGCGGGAGGGCCTGCAACGCGAGACGTTTTCCTTTCCCACTTGAACCACCAGATAGTATTAAGCGAAATCTGATCCGGGAGGAAATGGTAACGAGCCTTGTAACAGGAAGAAGCCTACAAATAAAAAACGACTAACGAAATGATAGGAAAGGGAAAAAGGCAACCGCGAAGCAGCCCCGAAATAACCAGTCCAGAGACAGAGCAATTAAGGGTATTGGACAACCCCTTCGAAGTCATAGCAGCGATTGACTTAGGGAAGGAAAACCAGAAGAACAAGTGATACAGGAAAACGTACAGTGAAACCTGTATTAAGCGGACACCCTCGGGGAATGCTGTAGTGTCCGCTTAATACAGGGTGTCCGCCTATAGTACAGGTTTCGATAGATAACGTCATATGAGGTGTCAAATGCCATTCAAATGAACAGTGGAAATGTTAAGAATACTCCCAGAGACTTTGACGATATACGTTTGCATTGATTTCTTTATCAAAGTGGACCAATTGATCATAAACATAAATTGCAACTCAAATTTTAAGAAATCAGATGAGTGAAACAAGCTCTATACAAACAAAACGAAATAGGAAACAATACTGTACAGTGAAACCAATCAAATAAGCTCGTCAAGTCACGTTTTTTAATGTAAAAATCGAAAAAGTTGAGGGTGGAAATTCGAGGCAATCTTTCGCATTTCCGGTGTCTGGCATGTTGGGTGGTGGAATTTGATTATAAGTGTCCGTTTAATACAGGTTGGTAGCAACAGAAATGACTATTCCAGGTACTTTTTAGGTGTCCGTGTCGGCTTAATAGAGGTGTCCGCTTAATAAAGGTTTCATTTAAAGTAAATAAGGGAAATAAATTTGGGGACTTCGACTACTGTCCGCTTAATAGAGGGTGTCCGCTTAATACGGGGTCCGCTTAATACAGGTTTCACTGTACTTTGTAGTTGATGTGACAAAGACAAGAAGTACAAGTTATTGTTTACAACTAGACCTAGCACAGGACACTCTCTAACGTGATGAACAACCCGCCTGCAATGAAAGCATCGTATGGGGCTTACCCCGTTCTGCCCCTAAGAAGGTCAGGCGCGCGGCCCTAGACCACCAAACGAACCTGCAAAATATGGCGCGCCGGGCAGCGAGAATGGGGCGACCCTTCCCAGTATAGAAAAAAGGCTCTGTCGCCGAATTCTGTGGAAGAATTCGCCAGAGGACGACCCTTTTTGTTAATTGCGTAAAACGTCTCTTGTGTTGGTGGTTGTGGAGAAAGCTCAAGCCCTGTGTTCATGAACGACCAACTTTTTATTGCGAGCTTCAAAACACGTTTTGGTGTCCGCAAGCAGGACACAAAAACTACGCTTACACAAACAGTGGCCCTAACACGTAGCTTATGATCAGCCAACTGTTCCAAACTCGCGAGAAGCGCAAGTGGATCCAAGAGCGCGGAAGAGCGGCTCGCGAGCTGTTTAGCAGATTCCAAAGCCTGTTCTACTTTTGGTGTATAAATAGTAGTTTGCAAAGAATCAAACTTATGGTTAAGATAGTCGATGCCCAACGAACGGGAACAAGAAAACATCAACATTAAAAACGTTCCGACACACAGATGCAATGAGAAAACGCTCCTCACAGAGACACAAACACGCAAGTGATATAGCTCCCACACAGACTGACATCCCTTACACAAGTTCACACAGATACCACGCAGACGTACAACCGAAAATCAAAGTTAGACACACAGACGCATTCATAACATTCGTCACAGACGAAAATCAAAACTCCACACAAAGTACCCAGACTAATGCAAGTCGTAAAGACGCAGGAATGGAAATTAAATTGGTCACAAAGACCCGACAGGACAAATTCGGCACACAGACGCAAATCAAATCTCGACACAGAGTACCAAGACTCGTCACATAGACGCAAGTCAAATCTCCACACAGAGTACCAAAACTTAATGCAAGTCATAAACACGCGAGAATAAAAAGTGAATTGGTCACACAAACCCAGCAGGAAAAATTCGGCACTCAAATGAACGACATCCGTCACACAGACCCAGGCACAAGCGTAGCACGGGCACAAGCGTTTAAAAAAACAGAACAGAGAAAAGGTTGGTATGTCACACAGACGAAGAACTTAATCCGCCGTGTAAAATAAAATTAACATATACAGCAAGTCACACAGACGCAAGCAAAACGTAAGATGAACGGACCACACAGACCTGAGAGAGAAAACTGTCACACAGAAGTGTAGAAAAAATTAACGTAGGAACACACGCCACACACACACACACAAAAATAAAACAAAAAAAAGAGAAGACTAAGTGCCACCTAAGAGTAAAACATAAAAGATAATGACACGAACGGTAAAGCGAGAAAGCGGAGATAAAAAACTACAAACGTGAGGCGCGAACGAGCTGGGAAAGTAAAGAACACAAAATGTAGAAAGCTACCCTAGGACCACAGGCGGAACTTTGTTTGCAGCGACGGCATTATTTTCTTCAACATCGTCTTCTTTAGCCCGTACAGCCGCGATAACAGCGCCAGCTTCGCGGTTTCCGGAACCTGAGCCATGGTGGAGGAAAATGAAACGAGAGCAGAATACGAGGCGCAGCGATGGCGGAGATGAGGCGACAAACATGGTGTATGCCGTCCGTTTTAACGAAGAGAGGAATAAACAGCACAAAACCGGCCAATTTATAGAGTGTTTTCACTTGACGTGTCCCAAAACAATGAAACGGCGGCCATGTTGGTGTCCCAAACCAGTCCCCCAGGGCTTGAACTCTTTTCTTATGCAAACGCTTTCATTTGTTCCAATAAAATTTGCATAGATGTTGACAACGTAAGTGAAAACACTCCATACTAAACTCACAGATACGCCGGAATTTAAATGCGCTTCGACCTCATTTTCATGATTTGCCCGAAAAAATTAGTACGATTTCGCATTCGCCTAACCGCCTTTTTGCTTTTGTACAGAGTCAAGTAAACAGACATTGACATTTTTGCTTGATAGGCAGTTTTTCGCTTCGCTGCGCTTCGACCTCGTTTTCACGTTTTGCCCGAAAAAAATTAGTACGATCCGCATTCGCCTAACCTCCTTTTTTCCTTCTTTTGAAGTAAAGATTTTTCAGTTAACCTCTCTGTCTTGGTTTTGTTTATAACTGATTTTTACTGAAAATAGTTTAATGATTAAAGATTTTTCAGTTAGTATAATCTGCAAAGATAGCAGGTTCAAACTTTGCCAGTTAGAAGACTATTGCAAATA